GCTGAGAGGGGCCCAGGCCAGGCCAGGAGATGTTGAAATCAGTCTGGGTTCAACCCTGAATTAACATCCTGATGGTGAGGCAACCCTGGAGTCCAAGGGCTGTCAGTCCATCACTTGATACTATAAAGTTCCAGTCCCCTTTCCCAGGGGCAGGTTCTTCCAACATAACCCTTCTTGGGGTGTATGAGTGGAGGTTCCTCCCTTGGCTGGAGACCCCGCCAAAGGTCACTCCTGGAGGCTGAGAGCAGAGATTTCCCCACAAATGTTGGTCTGGGTGAGTCACATCAATCTCTATTTAATAATTGTTTCTTTTTTGTCAGCTTTAGTATAATTGTTTCAACAATCTTATACTATACTACTGGTAGTTTTAACATTTATATTGTGTAGTAAATAATTCTGATTAAAATTTTTTGTCTGTTCAATTGTAATAATGAATAGTTCATTTTATATAAGTTTATCTGATTTTCCATCATTAAAAGCTGCAGGACAAAAGTGGTTCAATCACAGCTCTGTAATTCCTTAAATTCCAACCATTGGTATAATCTGGCAGCTGCCACCAAAACCCCCCCAAAAAACCCACTTCCTGGGAACTGCTCAATATCCCCCCAAGGGACATTTGGGACTCAGCTCTGGAGTTCCCCAAGCTCCAAACCTCCACCCCCAAAACCTAAAATGAGACTCTCCCAAGATATCTGCCGTGAGCTCCCCATCCCTGGAGGTGTTGAGGGGTTGTGGGAGCCCCTTGCTGGGCGGTCGGGCTGGACACACTCCTGCACTCCTGGGGCCAGAGAGTTGTCACCCCCTTCTCCTGCCTGGGGGGCTCTGGGGGGACCTCGGCTCCTGGGGGCTCTTCTGCAGCTGCAGAACCTGGAAGGACCCTTCTCTGGGTGGGTCCTCCAGGTGTTCCAGGAGCTTTGAGCTCATCCTGGGAGCAACTGGGCTACACTGGGATCATCCTGAGATCATCCTGGGAGTGACTGGGCTACGCTGGGATCATCCTGAGATCATACTGGGAGAGACTGGGCTACACTGGGATCATCCTGAGATCGTACTGGGAGCAACTGGGCTACACTGGGATCATCCTGAGATCATCCTGGGAGAGACTGGGCTACACTGGGATCATCCTGAGATCATACTGGGAGAGACTGGGCTACACTGGGATCATCCTGAGATCATCCTGG